GATCCTCAGCAGCTATGTGCAAAGAGAGGCCAGCGAGTTCACAAACCTTACAGCTCATATTCTAGGTTATTTCCCTCAGTGCTTAGTTGGAGGTCATGGTGGTTTGGTGACGTGAGAAGATGGAAATACAAAATGAAATCAACACCTCACGTCTGGGTACCAAAGACTGAAAAAGCACGAGATCTGAACATTTTTGTCGGAAAGAAAAGACCAAAAAAATCTGTTCCTCCTTCCAGCTCTCTCTCTCTGGGCTCGGGGCCAAGTGACAGGAGGAAGGAAGGAGGGCGAAGAGTAGGAAGAAGGGAGGAGGGATGAAGTGGGCAGGGAGGGAGGAGAAGCAAGAGAAAGCAGGCAGGATCTGTGGGGATTGCAGGGGTGCACTGAACAGATGCAGAATAATTTAACTCTTCCTCTGCCAAACGCTGTGTGCTCTGCATCAGCTCAGAGAAACAGCTCGAAGCTTGTTCAGAGCTTTGCTCCAAACAAAGAGGTTCACCCATACTCGTTCTTCTCAAACACTTATCTCCTACACTTTTATATTTAACATTAGCTACTGGGTCATCGATTGGCAAAACAATAAACACTAGTGATTCAGTTTTTTTATATAAGCTGAATAAGTCATGCATAAGTATGAACTGCATTTTTATGAATGGGAAACATGAATACAAAATCAAACCTTCATTGAAAGCACGGTGGTAGTTTCTCAGTATGTGCCTGGTGCACGCTGGAGGAGGCTCAGGCTGAGTTAGGGTGTTATTTGTCTCCCAAGAACTGTAAAAAGTACCTGAATTCCTGGGAGAATGATCTCAAGATGTCTGATGAAAAGCTCCAGCCTGTCATGGCTTTTCTGAGTCCATGAAGCCCTGTAGTTTGGAGAAGACCCCACGCTGTCTATCTCAAGTTTGCTATACGATGTCATGTGAAAAACCAGGAACCAATCAGAGTCAAGGACTCTAAGCATAATTTTATGTTTGACCAAAACACAAATTAAGTGAACAAATTCTATATTATCCTGAAATCTAAATGGTATCGACTCTTTGCACCAATGTAAACGTATCAGTGCATCTTTGGAAGTCAAATTTAGTGCTTTTTCAGTGTTTTGATGTTAAAAGGTGACAGTTTTAAATGACAGTATGCTATTTATCTCAGGCCTTTTATAAATGACAGACTGTGCTGGGTGTTTCCGTGTGTGTGGCGGGCAGTGTTAGGGCTGTTGCTGTCATACAGCAAGACAGACATAAAGACAGCAGCATTGTGGCTGATACTCACATCCACATTCAGCAATGACAGAAATTCTAGTTTTTCTGTGGTTGATGCAGCGCCGCTCTCACCCCCGTTACCCCAAGAAGAGAAGCCACTGAGAAAACACAGTATAGTCATGTAAACATCTACACTGGCTGGCAAACTCATTACATATACATGGATGCTTGTCTGCCTGGAGGTGCACTGTGACTGTACCTCGCAGTGTTTAACACCGTGTTTTAAAATGGACTTGCATAGTAAACCTGATCCTTAATTTCAGTGCAACTATCTAAGTGTCCTGCCTCTTTACTTGGATAAACTGAGATTAACATTTATAAGAAGTTCGGTAGCTCTACGGCTGTTAGTTTGACATATGTACCTTACAGTCAGATGCTGTGCATTTAACCCCGGGTGCACAATCAGCTGTGATTAGAAGCTTTTACAGCCATTCTGTCATTAAAAAGTAGTTTTCTTTATTCCAATCTGTTTCCACCCATCTTTCTGCAAAATGCACGCAACACACTGACTCAGTTTTTCCAACTGTCTCTGAATCAGTCAACAAACTCACTGCATAAATGGACATAATCAAATCCTTCCTATAGACACTGTAGGTTGGAGCTCTTGGCTGTGTTTTGTGCTTATGTGTGTAAGAGGAAGTTGTTGACAGGGGTTGCACATGCGTAGTTTTTCATATCAGTACCAGAGCTCTCTGCTGCACTCTCTGGTCAGAGATGTGATGTTGATGTTGGTGTGGTAGCACCAGCTTGCACACAGCAGGTCGCCCCACAGTTATTACAGCTTGGATTAATTCAACCACCAATTCCTGCATGGTTGATAAATGAAAACAACTATTTTAAAATGTATTACAATTTATTACAGTGATATTACAAGTATTTTACAAAGTACAAAGATATTAGTTATGACATGACAGACTAGAATTTACTGGACTGTCCACTAAACAAATGAAAAGTCAGTCCAGTGTTTTCCACCTGACTGTAAACGGCACAAAAAAGAGAAGTCCTGTTTCTACTGATTCTATCTAGATGTCAAAAGAGGAAGTGCTGAATGTTACTGATGAGAGCATAGCAAACACTGTGCTGAACACATGAAGGTTTTATATTCATGTGGACAGGACATAATGAACCTCAGTGGGCAGAAGCAAACAAATAAACTGATGAGACTTCATGAAATCATAAAGAAACCAGGCCTGTCAGCTGCAATAAGCTAATTAGCCTCAGTATCATTTGTGACTTTGACATAAAAAAAAAATAAAAATTGAAAACATTTGGAGTGAAAACCTTTCTTAACTATTCAGGAATAAAGGTTTACGCATCTTTAGTTATTGTAAAAGAAATCTAGATTTTGAACAGATATGCACTGAGGGTGTTGGCATGGTGGAGCAGTGATTAGTCGTCTCACAGCAAGAAGGTTCCAGCTTCGAGTCTGAACCGACCTGATGTCTTTCTGTGTGGAGTGTGCATGTTCTCCCTGTGCCTGCGTGGGTTCTCTCTAGGTGCTCCGGCTTCCTCTCATAGTCCAAAGACATGCAGCTGAGGTTGACTGGCGACTCTAAATTGCCCGTAGGAGTGAGTCTCACTTAGAGACAGTTCATGTAAATGCTAAACATTCAATGAATCATTTATTTAGATTAAATGCATAGATGTGTCAGATCATAGCAACAGTTAACCTTCTCAGTGAAAACATATTTTACTCCAAAGGTTCTGCGTCTTAGTTAAAGCAGACAGAGAGAACAAATCAACAGGTGTTCTGTTGAGCACAGACTCTTCCAGCATCACTTTACTTTCTACTTACATGCAGTAAGACACATAAACCAGAAAGCTATTACAGCTCGATCCAAGACAACTGGGCAGCCTGCATCTTACTGACAGAAGTAGATTGTCAGCTGCCCTGTAGATTTTTTAAGATAGTTGTATTCACTTTGTTGTGTTACACTGCGCTGTAGAGGTGTGGGTGCTGCTGCCATGTTCTACACCCTAGACTGTCTGCTGATGGGGGATGAGTTTCTGCAGGTGGAGCACTTTTCTTTCTACCCACTTCTCATGTACTGCCAGCAAACTGATTTGCATTTGCAGGGAAAGTAAAATGCAACACTTCCTCTGAACGTGGTGCTATGGTCAGTTATACAGTACCACTGTTGTGCTTTTTATGCCACTGACCTAAAAGCTACATAAAAGATTTCGCATAGCAACGTTCAGTTCATTGCCATTTGTCCAATTTCAGATGACCAACAGAAATTCTGCTTGGAGATAAAGTATGTTCAAAGCTGAGATGCCCTGTTTTAATGAAAGTGTCACTGGTTTGCCACTAAACGTGATCTCTTCTTTCATTTCAGGTTAAGTGCTGTGGGTGTGAGTGAAGCCTGTTCATGTAATACTGGACCTCCCGTGTCATTTTTAAATCATGTACTCTGCAAATTCACACATAAAAACTGTGCTCTTGATGCAATGCAAGCCAAAGCTGTATAAAAGCAAGTTATTTTGTCAGAATCAGTGTTCGTTCTGTCTTAGTTTCATCTCAAAACCAATTTCCATCGTTATCCAGGTAATAGATGCTTGATTGTCTGATTGTTCTTTTCCCAGCGAGGCCTCTCAGATCTCCAGAAGCTCACAACAAGAGCTCTTAGTGAAAGCGCTCTGAGCTTTATTATGTTATCAAAGTAATAACAAATAGAGTAATTGTGTTTAGAGGCTGCTTATGAAAGAAGCAGTTTACAAAGTGCATGTAAACAAAAGTACACTCATACGTCAGCTTTGGGGTTTATACATGTAATTTTAGGGGGTCTGTGTCCGTGCTGATGTTTGACAGTTAATGGTTTTTCCTGTATTAAAAAACATTTTTAATGTAATTACTAACTTAATTTGATTGCCCTTTACGTTTGAAAGAAAAAGGGATTTTAAATGTCAACAGCCTTGTAACAGTTTTCATCCACCTGGTCAGAGGTGGTTTCACATGTTATTCATTCTTCTTCTTCCACCACAGCGGACGGGGAAGTGTGTATGTTGGGCAGCAGCAAAGGCTGTGAATCAATTACAGTATATGTGGGAACATTTTATCAGGCTAAGTGCTGCCTGCTGTGTGTGTCTATTAGTGTCGAACACTAATGATGCAGAGAAGGTTTCAGAGGTGGAGCGTGTGTACCACTGGGAGATTTTTCTTCCATACAAGGAGGGAGTGACCTGCAACAGTGCCAACATCACTGTAACATGCAGAGGTTGTATGGGTCAGCATTACACCCTGAAACAGCTGGTTTGCATCAGCGTACACCAGTGGATTACTTAGACGGTACAGTATATGACATACCACCTAGTGACCAGTACACAGTGACTTGTATCCCAGAATCAGTGCGTTACATCTCAGTAACGTCAAATGCGGCAAGAAATATTCGCTAGAACAGTTCAAATATCATATCAACCCTGAAACATAACGAAGGAAACCAGAGAGAAGAGGCTGGTCCTGGGGGTGGTGGTTTGGAGCCAATCCCAGCTCACACTGGGCGAGAGGTGGGGTCCACCATGGACAGGTCGCCAGTCTATCACAGGGCTGACATGTAGACAAACAACCACACACACTCACACTCACTCATACAGGCAAGTTAGAGTCGCCAGTCAACCTAAGCTGCATGTCTTTGAACTTTAAATGACAGTGTATAAAATGCAGGATTTAAAATGTTCAGATCAAGTTGCAAACGTTTAATGAGAAAGAAAATGCATTTGACAAATGTGTTTGATCTCAGAGATGTGCACAGTGGGTGAGATTGGATGTAAACATAGCTTTTGTTTGTTTTTTTAAATAAGAAAACTCCACACTACACCTTTCACAGACTGTTGATATGTGTCTTCAGAAATTTCTGAGGAGAATCTTGAGCCTTTTAACTTTTAAGCCAACTGGAACAACAGTTCCTGTGCAGTGCTATGGATGAACTGCTGCTGCATTTGTATGTCAAGTGAGCAAAATATGAAAGGATGGACTACATCACCTCAGCACCTCCAGAGAAAACTAGTAAACAGACCTCGACTTGAGATTGTTTGTCAAACCATTTTTCAAGGTGAAGTACCCATATTTAAGCTTAAGACTTTAAGACTGGTGTAACCTACACGTTCCTGTCATTCCTAACATAGTTCTGGTTGCTGGCATAAGCTATATATAATGACCACAACTTCCCACATTGTCTTGACCACATTATCCTGCCAGGTTTCGATTTGGCACTCTGTGGTCAGAGGTTGCAACATGGCCTTTATGTGGTGGCACAAATTGTACGCATTTCTCTGCCATAGCCTACAACCCTGTTTGTTTTGTGCCATAAAATATACATTTAAGTGTTTCAGCCAGAGGGGGGGTCAAGCAGAATGGCCACAGACTCGAAGTTGGGGAAGAAGGCTAGTTGTTTGTTGCCCCACAGAAAGAAGCACTCCACATCAGCTTTACAGCCAAAAAAGACCCTAGAGCACATTGCACCCACATCACATAAACAACACAGCTCAGAAACACCAATCTGAAGTCCAGCAAACAAACTGAACATCCGGGAAACGCAACCTGATCTGCAAAATACGTGGAATGTCTTATATCTTTTCTGCCGCCCTTCAAACCCGGTAATGATGGAGGAGTAAAAAGCGCCATGATTGGTGGATGCAGCCAACAGAGGAGAAATGTAAACCCCTTCGTTTTGTTGCATCGGGGGGTTGAAAAGTGAACGCTCCCCTCTTGTTTTTCCCCTTCCTTGAACGACAACAGCAGCAGGAGCCAGCCGGGCGGTGCGCTGGGAAGCTTCCTGCGGTACCAGAAGGATCTCCCTGCAAGTCTGCGGTAAGGACAACAACGGGCAGTGTGCGTGAGGCTCACATCAATGCGAATCACCAGGAAGGGAGGAAAAATGCACACAATACACAATGGTGTTGCCTGGGGCTGCCGCGATAGCTCTCAGACAAACCCGGGAGAGACTGGCTCGTTGTGCTTGCTTGACAGCTGCA